CTTGAGGAGTGGCTATTGTGTGGAGGATTCTTCTGGTGGGCACAGACGGATCCTTGTATCTTATCATTAGATGTTGATTTTAATTCCGTTGTTTAAATTCCGCACTCTGAACTTGGTATTGTAATAATGTATTTTCGAGAACTTTTGTTGTATGAAATGGACTAAGTATTGTAAACTCATTCTCATTATTGGATTCTGGATGAAAGACGTGGATTGTTCGAGTTCTCCCTTGGGGTGTGCTCGACGGAACTATCCGATGTAGCTCATTTTCTAGGTGCTTAGTGTCTAGTGGGAGACGAGCGCCTCCGGAAAGTGTGTTATCTCGGACGGTTCTACCACATCAAGTGCATTCCATAATTGTTTGCCTATCATGCATATGATGTAATTGTCCTCGTATTTGCTATGAAGAGCGCTAATCACGCCGCTTCGAAACAAGTTATTGGCAGCCATGAACCTTTGCTCCTCCTTAGGTTTAAACTATTCGGGCTTCCCCTGTGCGATGTAATAGCAATTCATAGCAGTTAACCACAAGACCATCTTAGCACGCCATCTCTTATAATCCGTGCCATCAAAATCATCAGGCTTCAACGCAGCAGCAAAACCACTAATAGAAAATTGCCTATTATCAGGTTTTTGGATTGTTAGGAATTTAGGCATTTTCATGTTAAATTTAATCTAGAAAATCCATAGCAAATTGGTGACAACATGTATGTGCACGTGTTTGATATTACTACTTACACTACTAGCAAATATGAACATGAACGACATATATATCATAGCGGAAAACATATTGAATTTAAGAAATTTAAGAATAGAATTATACCTAGTGGAGGGACCCATGCTCAAGGCACCGGCTGGCTCCACGCGTACTAGTCGACATAGTGCGTTGCTTGATGTCACGGACCACAGTCGATGCAGGACGAGGTTCGCAGTGCCGTCCCTCGAACGTCCACCAGAAAGAAGACGATCCGAGGAGGAAGAAGACGACGCCCACAAGGAAGACGAAGATGACCCGAGAAAGTTAGCGAGCAGTCGTGGAGACGCTCCCCAAAAACTTGATCGTCTGCACACCCGAGCAAGTGTCACAGATGTTGACGGCGGTTTCGGAGGCCTGCTCTCCCAACTCTCTGTGCGCGTGAGGATTGGGACGTAGATACTCGGGAGCAACTCAACAAAAGAAAGATGGTGCTAGATGTTGTGTCTCGTTCGCGCGACTAAAGGCGAGCACACCTTTCTTATAGACGCGGAAGGTGGAAGGTGAAAGGTGAAGTGTAGAAAGGATGAACCTAGATGTCATGAAATGCTCATGAATTACTAGTAACATCTGCCATAAACATGGGGTCACTAGTAACTATAACCATAACAATAGGAGTTACTAGTAACTGCAGCCATAACTATGACCGTTACAAAGTTCAGCTATCAACTACATTTTGTTGATCATTTTATTACACACAGCATCCAACATGACCTTAGAATTTATTTAATTTAATTATTAAATAAAATATAGGTCAAGCCCACGTTAAATCTAACAGTACAAACGTAAAATCTAACAGTACATCCTGTTCGTTTGGCTGTGTCTTGTCGTAAACGATCGTAAATTTCTAGCCGGAATAGTATTTTTCTGTCACATAAACCAGTCAGCAGTACTTCTTCACGAACCAGCAACAAAACGAACCAGCCAACCGAACAGTGGCTAGCAAAAGATCCAAGAAACCGTTTACTATCACGAAATGAATTGCAGAAACTTGTGCATATGACTTGGTCAAGCTTTAGGGCCTGTTCGTTGGTTGATGCTGATGCTGGTTTAGGTTGACTGGTGCTGATTTTTTTAAGAGAAAAATACTGTTGGCTGACTGATTTGGGTTGGCTGAAACCAATAAACGAACATACTATTAGGATTAGGCTGTATCAAAAGCAACAAAAGAACGAGAAAGAGAATCAAGTTAACAACCAGGAATCCCAAGATAATGTTATCATGCCATCGTAGAGTACGACCAATTATCGGTGTCAACCATCGCCATAATTTATAGTCTGATGAATAAATACTGCAGAAAAAGAGGTGGAGAAGTGGACAAGAGTACATGCATCCAAAGCGACAAAGCAGGAGGTGCCCACTGCCACTTGATGGAAAACGATGACCCACCACGGCCCCTCGGGATAAGCCTCGACACCTCACACCGGTAGTAGTCTCACTCAAACTGGTACGAACAGATAAGGAATCATCTCGTGCTTTGCAGCCGGTTTCTCTCCCTTGTTCTCTCGCACGAACCCACGACTTTGCAGAGCTCTAAGTGTCGTTCGGTTGGCTAATTCGTATTATCGCTGGTTCATTTATATAAAAGAAAAATATCGTTGGTTGGTTCGTGTAAACAGTAGCCTTGTGAGGAGGCTGGCCAGCCAGTCCAGCCCCAGCGATCAGGCTCTACTCGTTCAGAGCAGGAGAAATTGTGTACTTGGGCAAGATTCATCGCTAGCAACAAAAGAATTTGGCAGAATATCTATAGTCCTTGAACTCTCGCCACATGCTCAATGTAGTCCCTGAAGGCTGAAGCTGTCGATAGAAATCCTCCAAGTTTCTTCTTTAGGTTAAATTTGCCCAGGCCTATTTGGATAATGTGTGCACGTCTAGTTAGCCATGGGAGATCTAGGGTGAATCAAGCATGTGACAAATTTCTCTCATGCCTCTTGTATCATAAACTAGGGAAAACACTAAACTATTGACCCTTCCTATTACACGGGCTGTAATTTTGAAAGGTATTGCTGTTATAAATAAGTAGATATAAATTTGGACCACAACTATTTTAAGTTATCTATCTTTACTCTTTCATATAGCTCACATAAAATAATTTTCAAAGTAGATATTGTCTTATCTTTATTTTGATGTGATTTAATTAATATCTTTATTCGTCTATGATGGACTTTACTTACCAATTACTTTATATAATTTTTCAATCCTATTTGCGGTTTTCCTTTTGCACCATGCCTCAATGTGTGATTGACCTGTATATATTGAGATCGACACTTAACTATGTGTTTGACATGGAAATCAACATTGGTAATTGTTGCGGAGTCATTGCCTGTGGAGCTTGGCGGTTGCTTTCTTGGTTGTCACTTGTGGAGCTGGGCAATTGCTCTCTCATGCCCATATGCATGATCATACATGATTTTGATGATTTAGATGACAACACAAACTCTAGAACTAACACATGTGTTAAGATGTTAGACATATGCGTATAGGTTCTAGGGATATAAGGTCCAAGTCTGATCAAGATTCAAGCTTAAACAAAATCAATACATGCATCGGATCACTTGATCCAAAGGCGACATATATCATCAATGGCATGCAAAGACTTGGCAAAAAGATGACAGGCCATCAAATAATACGATGCAAACAAGATACACTAGGCAAATCAACCCTTGCCACGGGGCAATAAGGTGTAGCATAGAAGCACTCCTGCGGACTATCTGATGAAGCTAACGTGGCAACAATTGTGTCCAATGATCGGATACTCTATCAAATGGTATGGTGGACAACATGGGATAAGCCAACTGATCATGATGAGGGCCCAGTGTCACTACTAAAGATTAAACAATCGGCAAAGAAATATATACCCCATCGAATAATACAGTGCAACATTTAGAGATCCATCAGATCATCCAGTGGCTAGATAGAGCGGATGGGCTATATATATGGGTTCCCACTCACTTGCCTAGAGTTGTTGGAGTGCCCCCAAATCTGTTAGAACATAGAGCAACTGAATCAACCCTCTCAAGTACAAATTGATCACATCCAAGGCATAGGATACAGCTTAGTGTTCATCTTGAGAGATAGGACTTACATGTTTAGAGCTCGAGTGTTGGGCTAAAGTGCCTTTGTAATCTTGGTGAGCTAGAGCACTTGGGGTCTTGGTGACCTTCCAACGAAACTGACCCTCTGAGTTTGGTGTGGACAGGTGACACAATGACTTGGTGTATGGGGCCGAGGAGGCCCCTTCCTTGGTAGAGTTCTATAGTATTAGTGGATGACACCTTGGTGAATGGGAGAGTCAGATGACAAATGGTGAGCCTTGACACTTGTCTTGGTTGGTGGTAGTCTTTGTTGCTTGCCCAAAACCGTGACCGAAAAAAGGGCTTTTGTGACCGGGAGCATATCCTTTATGGAGCTTCAACGTGGACTAGGGGATACATTTTGACAACCGATACAGATGCATCTTTATCTTCGAGAGTTTGTCCTCTCTTTTGACAACCTCTCTTGATAGGTTTGGCTCTAATTTGCAAAACTTTATGTGGGTTGGCTAAGATAGAACGCACTAGAAAAATCTAAGGTGCACATAGTTTTTTAGTTTTGGTCTAGTGTAAAACAAGTTGATCAAGTTATTAAGTTTTCTAGTACAAACACAATGATGTGATCATCCCATTAAAAAAACTAGAATAGACCCATTTTATCCCTCCTTATTCGTAAACCAAACAATCTTTTGGATGCTCTATTATTGTCTTGTGGAGAGCATGAGTTGCACCAAGTTTTTTGCATCGACGATCACAAAGTTAGTGAACAGAGGAGACTAGTAAACACGTGAAGAAGAAGAGGGAGCCCTATAAAAACGTGAAGAAGAAGAGGGAGCCCGTGATGCGGCAAGAGTTGATGCGCCTCTCGTGAGAGGCATGACAGGAGAGAAACTCGGCGAGATGCCGGAGCAAAAGCGCCATGTTCTTATCCTCTGCCCCGCAAGCGACGGGGGCCAGAGAAAGGGACGCATCACCCCAGCCCAGCCAAGAGATGCAGTGGCAGATAATACCAAAATCCACCCATCCCCAAAACAACCAGCCGCAATTACCAAAACCACCCTCTCACCCGCTGTCCCGCTACATATACCGCCCATTCTCCTACTCTCTCCCACCTCCCAGCTCCAGCAGCAACATCAGCGTAGCTCAGAGAAAGAACGAGGAAGGAAGCAGAAAGCTTTAGCCTTAGGCAGAGCAAAGGTCGAGTTTGTGACCGGATGGCGCACATGAGCCGGGTGTGGGCGGCGGCCACGGTGGCCGCCGTGCGTGCGCAGCGCGAGAGGGCGCCTTCCGCCGCGGCGGGGGCGCGGGACCGGCTGGCCGGGCTCGCCCCCCAGGCGGCTGCGCTGGCCGCGGCGCGGGCGGCCGACGACGACGGCCGCAGGCAGGCCGGCGCCGACGAGTCGCTCCGCAAGGCCATGTACCTCAGCTGCTGGGGGCCCAGCTGAGCTAGGGCGGCGTGTGATGAGTGACCCGTCGCCGGATGGCCGCCCGGCGCGGGGCGGATGGACGCGCTTTGGGCCCGGCAACCCGGCGGGCCTCGCGGCCCATGTTAGGTGTTCCAGGGCTGGGCCTGGGGTTCGCTGCCACCATGTGATATATCGTCATGAAACTCACAAGATGCGTTGAGTTGAGATGTGGTTGCCTGGTCGGGATTATATGCAGTAACATCTTTGGAATTTGTTGGACTAAAGCTGAGGGTGACTGAAGTGTAATTCGTACATAGTACTAGACTTCATGTAGATATTCAATGGAACTACTAATAATTGGGGAAAAATAATGAGAAGTGGTTCCATCGGTTGGAACTTGGAATATTTCCGTCTATCGCACAACATGCTGTCGAGCGATGAGCGTGTTCTACATATGGTGTTCGTTTCAGAGTTTTGGGTGCGCTCGATCTTGGTTCCATTTGTTCCAGATCTTGGTTCTGTTGATCTTAGTTCTGCTTAAGGCCCCGTTCAGTTTCCTAAGACCCGTTCCCAGCCAGACCTGGTACGGAGAATTCCTTCGGTAATTTGTATAACGACTGAAATTATTCCGGCCAGGAATGACCCGTTCCGAAGAAAACGAACGAGGCCTAAGACAAGTCAAGGACGCGGCACGCCGAGTCGCGGATACGGTCGCCGCCGGACACGGAGTACACGCGATTACCCACCATGCCTCCACGGCTCCATGGGTTCACGAGCACACCTGCACTATCGACTTATCGTCCCAGATGAACCCTGTGTGAGTTTTTTTGAGACAAAAGTCAGCCGCGTGGGCAGCACCAAGTAGCAACCAAGCGTCGGTGGCTCGGCGCGGATACCGGTCTCTTCGGAGTCCAGTCGATCGCTCGTCTCCGAGCGGCGCGCGCTCAGGCACACTGGCAGACTCGCCGCTCGCGGTCTCGCCGCAGTCACCAGAGCACGGGCACGACGAGCACAGCGGGCCGGGAAAGCGGGAGACGGCGAGAGGAGAGCAAACACGACAAGCAAACGGATCTGATTGACTCGCACCGGACAAACTGGGCTCCGACCTCCGAACGTGACGGGTCTGGCCCTGACTTTCACGTGACGCTGGGCCACCGCGGTCGCGCCCCAGGAACGGACGGGTGGCGCGACCGAGGCCTGGGCGAAAGTGCAACAACGGCACGGGCCACCACCCCACCCCCACGCGTGCGCGGCGCTGTCTGTCCGTCCAGTGGCGGAGGGTGAACAAAAAAAATATAGGGGGGGCCAACATGACAGAATACAGGTGATAAGTGAAATATAGTTGACATCAGAAATAGAACCATGTATGCACATGTATTTAACTAGTCACATATCAAAGTGACTACGGAGACTGTCAGACTAACTTTAACCAAGTTATGGACTAACACTAGCTAGTTATATATATTTAGTTGGGTCATATTTCACAAAAATACAAGTGACCATAAACTATTTGACAAGCCATACCAAAATACAAGTGACCACATAGGACCATGAAATCCTAAAAGTCTGCTCTTCTATGCTTCAGATCCTTGAAATATGAGATTATATCATTATAGGTGTAGTGTCCTGCAATTTCACCTTCGACCTGAACAAGCAAGCTGTTGGCAAGCTATTGATCTTCCATCTCGTTGCGCAATCTTGTCTTGACGATCTTCAAGACAGAGAAAATACGTTCTTCCATCTCGTTTTCTTTTGTAAAAAGAATGGAGAGAAACAGTTTTCATGCGAACCATTGTTTTGCTACCTAATTAAAAAATTGCATCCATTTAATTTGGATCTGAATCTAGCATCTACCAAAACCACCTGGAAAGAAATAGAGCAAAAGATTGGAGTTGAAGATTGAAGAAGAAGAAATAACCTGGGACCTGGCGACGAGGCGGCGAGCAGTGACCACCATTGCCATGACTGCAGGGATCGGCAAGACGGAGGGAGGACGACGAGTCACGAGGCAGAGGAGCTGCAGCTGTCTTGTGTCTGCTTTCGCTGGTCAAATTTGGCGGCGGCATGGCCAGCGCCGCTAGTGGGCGGGCCGGCGGGCGCGAAGCCACGGAGAAGTCGCCAAGTCGGGCATGACTGCTCCCTCATCCCTCTGCTCAGCTGTTCTGCTCTAGTTGCTGGGCTGTCTCAATATTTGGGAATTTTGTTCTGGACAAGGGGGGGGGGGCGGAGCCCAGTTTAACCTCCACTGGGCTCCGCCCGTGTGTCCATCACTCTCGCTTCGGCCGCTCCAGCCTTACCGTCTCCAGAGTGGAGAGCCATTTGATTGACGAGGGGCTATGGTACAGCAAAAAAAAAATCAAAACTAGTGACACGGAACAGAAAGTTGGATTATCTATGGCACGTAAGAGATTGTTATTATATATATTTTTGATGACATCCAATAAAAAAATTCATATTCTTACGGTACCATGATTCTGATGTTGTGAGTTGGTGGCAGTATTTCAGCCAGGAACCTTCCAAAATCATGTCCAATCCAACAGATAAAGTGCGGAACAAATCATGAGCCGGTCATGATTTCGGGTTTGGAAGTTTAGAGTTTTTTTTTGAAATCGGAATCCTCGATTCCATTAACAAGCATGTTCAGGTAAATCGCAAGATACAAAGTTAGTTACAAACTCGAGAGCTTGACTAAAAAACATAGAACAATCAGGGGCTAAAACATAAGCTCCATGGGAGGTTAAACCATCTGCAACCCTGTTACATGTTCTATAACAGATAGAGACTTTACAAGAATTGAAGTTATACACCATATGGTCTCTAATCTGATGGATTAATGAACTAACCGTGCTTATGTCCTTCTCTGTTGAAGATAGAGCCAATGCTAAGGCTGTAGCATCTGTTTCCGGAATGATATGCATCATGCAAGATGTGTTGCATGCTGGATCCCTTGAGGGCCGCCATTGCTTCAGTCTGCAAAGCAGAAGTCGCATATCTCATATTACCAGCGCCACCTGCAAGCACGTCCCCACGTGTCCCTAATCACAAAGCCCCAGCCTCCTGTTCTGATTTCTTGGTAAAAGGCACCGTCAATATTGATCTTGTAATTGTCAATAGGTGGTGGCTTTCATGAGCATGGTACAGTTTTTTTACACACTGACCTGTATTGTTCAATCTCTCAAATTCTAGCAGATGATATAGTACAGAATTCTGAATTTCTGATGCACTCATCAGCCTATGGCCTTCATCTACCTTATTCCTTGCTGACCACCATGTCCACGGCAACACTATCACCTTTAATTGTACAGATTTTTCCAGAGACAAGATCACGTGGACGGTTTCCTTCCCTGATTGACATCCTAGTAACATTACCATGTGTTCTTCCATATTCAATAGCCGCCAACAGTATTTCACATATTTACATTTGAAAAAAATATGGCCACAATCCTCGTCTAGTCTATTGCAAATTGGACATAGGGTGTCTGTTTTAATTACTCGACGGCCAAATTTCTTCTTATTGTGGGCTAAACGCCAAATAAACATCTGAACCTTGTTGGGGACTTTTAGTTGCCAAATCTTATGCCATTGGAATTCGCCTTCCCTATTACTTACAGTCCCAGATGTAGAAGCATCCATGTGGGCAAGTGCATCTCTTCTGGCAACAGCCAACTTATAAGCTGATTTAACTGAGAAAAGTCCCTTTGAATCAAAGTGCCAAGCTAGCCAATCTTCCATTTGATCATCAATAGGAATCCTAAGAATCTCATTTGCATCTTCTGGCCAAAAGGTATCATGTACTAGTTGCACATCCCATCCTCCAGTTATTGGATTAATTAACTCATCCACTCTCTTTAGCAAAGAAGCACGCCTTGTCGGTCTTCTGGTAGTACCTTTAGGTGTCCTCCCAGATTTTAACCTTTTCTCCATTGCCGATTCTTCAAATCAAGCCTTCCTTTAGTAATTCCGCCCCTTCCAGTATACTTCTCCAAGTATACGGTACCCCAACATATGGGCGACAACTGAGAATATCTGACTGAGGGAAGTATTTGGCTTTTAAGACTTGACCACATAATGTATCAGGATTTGTGAGTAGTCGCCATGCTTGTCTACACAACATGACCATATTGAAAAGATGCAAATCCCTGAATCCTAGGCCACCCTTTTTCTTTGGTTTAGTCAGCTTCTCCCAACTTAACCAATGGATTTTATTATTTTTGTCTTGTTGACTCCACCATTACTTAGCAATCATCATGCTCAACTCATCACATAGGCTCTTTGTAAGATCAAAACACAACATAGCATATGTTGGAATGGATTGAGCAACAGCCTTAATCAAGATTTCTTTACCAGCCTTGGAGAGGAGTTTTTCCTGCCTGCCCTGTATTCTTCCCCAAATCTTCTTCTTAGTGTACTCAAAGGTCGTTTTTCCGTGATTTCCCTACCGACACAGGCAAACCCAAGTAATTTTCCCCATTAGCTTCATGATCAATTGATAAACATGCCTTCATTTCTGTTCTCATAGATTGATTTGTATTTGGGCTGAACATTATATAAGATTTGTCCATGTTGATCACCTGCCTAGAGGCCCTTTCATAAACTTCTAGGATATGTGCCAATTGTTGTGCATCACTTATTCTTGCTTTCATTAGAATTAGAGAGTCATCAGTAAACAATAGATGGTTGACGCTCAGTGCGCGTCGACATATTTTGACACCCTCAATTTTCCTTGTGTCTTCTGATCTTTGTAATAGTGCTGACTTCTGCACATAAAATAAATAAGTAAGGTGAAAGGGGGTCACCTTGCCTTAGGCCCCTTTGGGGAATAAGACGATGAGTATAAGATCCATTAATTTTAATGCTATAAGACACTGTAGACACACACTTGATAATAAGCCGCACCCATTGCTCATGAAACCCCATTCTACACATCATTTTCGCAAGGAACACCCATTCCACTCTATCATATGCCTTGCTCATATCAAGTTTGATTGTTGATAGCCCTCCCACCCCTTTTGTTTTGGATCTTAGATGATGTATCAACTCATATGCCAACAAGACATTATTAGTAATTAACCTCCCCGGAACGAAGGCACTTTGAGTTGAAGAAATAATATTGGGTAGGATCTTTTTCAATCTATTGGCTAGGACCTTAGAAATTAGTTTGTACAGCACATTGCATAGGCTGATTGGCCTAAAATCTTTGATATTTTGAGGGGCTGCAGTTTTAGGGATTAACACAATAATTGTACAATTCCAACCCTTGGTCATATGCTCCAAAGCCCAACCTCCCGTGGGTAAGTCCGTCCGCACATATAAAGTGCGGAACCCATTGTGAATTGGTCCAGAACATGGTAGTAACTCCGTCCGCACACATAAATCCATTGGGCCTCTGAAATGCACAACCGATCCAATATCCCATTAAGCCAATCACCCATGCATCTCTGGCAAGTCACGGCCCAGATATCACTCTCTTGCTCACTCCATGTCTCCATTGTCCATTCACGACGGCAGCTTCATATGAACAGCTAGGCACATGCACATATGGATCAGGCGATCAGCGTAAAAGTAGGCAATCGAAGCTGACCAAAAGAAGAATTGAACTCTACTAGAGAATTCAAGCTATCTCCCTCCCTTATGTATTCAGACTTTTTTTTTTGAGAATCCTTATGTATTCAGACATTATAACTGTGCAACAAGCATTTTGTTGCTCCAATGCAATCAAGTAGGTGGAGAGTGCTTCTCCCTTCCGATTTCATCAAAAAAAAAAAAATCCATTACCATAATGCAGAACATATGTGGAAAAGAATACTCAGGTTTCCTTAAATACCATCCAGTGATGTACTACATACAGATACAGCACACATGACAATCGAACGCTACATACAAAGAATGTCACGCCGCTGGCGCCGCCGAAGGAGCCAACACGCGAGCCGACGCAACACGCGCGCACCCCACCGCCGTCAGCAACTCAGACGTTGTCGGGCAGGTCGAAGTGCTGGACGCCGAGCACCTGCAGCGCGGCGTTCTGGACGAAGAGCACGAGGCCGCACTTGGTGGCGCGGAATCCGTCCCAGAGCGGGAACTGGACGGTGCCGGACACGGTCTTCTTCGCCGAGGCGCCCTCCCGCACGGCGGCCACCTTCTCCAGGCGTCGCACCACGTAGTCGTTCAGCAGCGACTTGCCCTTGTTCTCGCCGCGCCCGCACTCGGTCACCAGCCCGCTCTCGTACAGCGCCACCAGCACACTCGCGCCGCCGGGACCTTCCACGCGGCTGCGCAGCGTGCCCGTGAAGGACGCCTGCAGTGTCGCCGGGTTCGGCCGCTGGAACGTGACCTGGACACACGCGTACACAGATCAGATCAACTCGGGGTTTCGCTCACACGACATCAGTCGGCAGATCTGAATTATTGTTGATTGCAGATCCAACATAAGCACAGTGCTGATGAGTTGGCTCAACAGTTGTCTGAACAGTTTGTTTCAACACTGTCGAACGATCTTTGTATATTCGTGGAGACGACATGGTGTGGTGGCAACAAGATCGGACATGCCCGATCGACGCTGCTAGGTGTGCAGAAAATGGGTACTAGTAATTACGTACCTTGATGGCGGGCGCGGGGTAGCGCGGCGCGTCGCGGACGGCCTGCGCGAGCACGTCCTGCTCGGTGCCGACGCAGTGCGCGCGGCCCTGCAGGACGACCTGCGGCGTGAAGAGCGTGTCGAGGCGGAGCGCCTCCACGTAGGCCTTCTGGCGCACGGTCCAGGCGCTGGACGCGAAGGGGTCCTTCCACCCGCGGTAGTCCCAGTAGTCGACGTGGAACGCCAGCACCACGACGGCGGCGCCGTTGTCCCCGGAGTCCTGCGCCAGCCGCGCCGCCACGGCGTCCGCCTCGGGCGACGCCCCGCACCCCTGCGACGCGAACAGCTCCACCAGCACAGGCCCCGGGGCCGCCTCCTGCTGCTGGCCCTCGCCCGTCGCGTCGTCCGGCGCCGACGCCGTCGCGCCGCCCCTGCGCCCGAAGCACGCCAGCAGCCGCGGCGCCATTTGGTCGCTGTCGTAATCAGCAATCTAGCGAGCGAGATGCCGTGCGGCGGCGCCCGCAGCTGGGCAGGAACGTCGCGGCGAAGGGAACGGATCAAGTGAGCTCGCTCGCGCGCTGGCCCGTGGCGCGCAAGGTAAGTAGTAGGTGTCTCTGGCCTCTAGGTGGTGTGGTGATTGGTGGGGCAGCTGTTGGGTTGGTGGAGAGGAGAGGTGGAACGGAACGTGGCGGAGGCGACGGCAACAGAATACCAGCCTGTCAGCACGCACCCTCTCTTGGATCGTCACCGGGTAGCTGCCATGTGTGTTACGTGCCTCTGCCTAACCTCCAGCCTTTCCTTTGTTTTTGGATTCACCTTTTCTGCTGCGGACTTTGCTAAATTTAGTTTCCACTGCTTCAGTGCGATCTGAGATGCATTATACTCCATGCGTACTGTACATTTTGTGGTCGTTATTCTTTAGCGAATGTAAAGAAGAGGAGCACGCCTTTTTTGCTTTCACGATGCACGATTCTTTGCTTGGTCCGGTGTGTTTTGTGGGCGCGAATGCCACGACCACTGTGTCGGCGAGTGGTTGGATCCGCCGTCGGAGGGGTGATCTGATTCCCTTTGTTTAACGCACAAACAGCCAGGCCACGTTTCAGCAGCTGCTATTCAATCCAATCAAGCCACTGGGTTACAGCAGTGCGCTTGCATTTGCTGAGCGGCGTTAGCGACCTAGACACGGTGCAGCGGTGGATTTTGCTGCCGGTTTAGTTTTACACGTTCGCTGATCCCGCGTGATCGTCACGGTGCAGTCTGTGGAATTTTTGGACGATCAGATAGAGATACAATGGCCGGCTTTGCACAAGGCGGCGAAGTGGGCGGGGAGCTGTCGGCTGTCGCCTGCAGCTGCCAGGGGAGAGACAGCGATCGAATTTCAATTCGCGTGTGGTGGCGAGTGCGGCCGTGCACCCGATGGTGCATGGACGTCCTACCTGATCGTCACCGTCGGGCGTCGGCGTCGGCGGCTCGGTCCACCGCTGAGAGCACTCTGTCGGCGTACCTGTAGCTTACATGGATGCCATCGCCGCACTTTGGACTGCTAGTCTCTGCTACCGAGGCCTGGACTGGTACTGGACCAATCGTCCTGTCTAAACCGAGTCCACTCCAAACAATAATCCTTCGTGTTTTATGGTATGGGCAGGCTTTCCTCGTCCAGGAAAGAAGAACCAGGCTCAATTGGGTTCAAGAACAAGGCTCATTATCACTAGTCAGCAAAAAAGGGAGAGATTAAGCCCAAACCAATTAATAACAGGATATATAGGCCAGGCCTTGAAAGATAAGACGAATAAGGCTCATTGGGTTCAAGACAGTCAGCAAAAAGAAAAGCAGAGAGATTAAGCCCAAAACACTTGACAGAATTTGTTTCAAAAAGAAAAGAAATAAAGCGCTAACAGAATAAAGAGGTCCCAGATACCCGGCATATGACTCAATGAGGCCCATCAAGCCCAACTAAATCGTTCTGGGCCTCAACTGGCCTGTTGATCTCGCGGATTTGGACCCCAGTTCCATTATAGTAGCCATCACTCGCTCCACAAGAAACCAGACAACGGTTGTCCCAGTCCCGCGACTTTATTTTCTGGAAAGATTTGTTTCCATAACCTCTATAATTTAGAAAGTTATAAAATTATGCCTATACATATAACATTTTGTGAGCCAAACTTATTGCCATAACTTTTTAAAATATAGTTCTTGATATAATTTTATAGACAAATTTAACACCAAAATGTTTGTCATAACTTTTTAAATACAAATTTTGAGACATGATTTTATAGACAATCTATAAAACTTTCTAGCATGATGCTTTTAACCAAAATACAAAGTTTTATATATTAACATATATCAATTGATGACAACTTTTCAGCGTGATGCTTTATGCATTAACCAATTCTATTTTACGATTGTTTTTCGGAGCGAAAATGGGTTTCACTTTTTTCTCCTTTTATTTTTTTCCTTCGTGTATATATATAAACACAGTTTTTATATTTAGAAGTTTGTCCAGAATAAATTATGCCCCCTCCATTCTAAATTATAAGTCGTTTTGACTTTTTTGATAAATCTATTTTGCTATGCATCTAGATATAATAATATGTCTAGATATATAGCAAAATAGATGAATCGAAAAAGTCGAAGCGACTTATAATTTGGAACAGAGGTAGTATAAAATAGTTGTGTTGGACAACAAAAACTTCTAGGTAAAATCTGTTACTGTGTTAAGACTATTTTTAACCAAATAAATAAACATTTTATGTTATTATCTTAACAAATATACTAAGTGATGCTAAGGAATAGGTGGATGTTTTTTTAGGCAATAAGTAAGTGGATGTTGATAAGAAAGAAACAATGTTACTCCATTTGTTTCACAACTGTTATCATTCTGGGTTCAAAAAAATTCCCAATTATGTCATTCTCACGTTGCAATTGGCAAGTCATCATCAACTCTCTTTGTAGCCAAATGCACCGTCCAGTATAGATGTAAGCCATCAAGGATTGAGATGTACTTAATGAGGGTATAGCTTATCTCTTAGTATCACTCTTATTTTTATTAAGATTAGCTAGAATAATAAATATTGCTAAAAATGTGCGGAGTAGATTAGCACCCAAAATGAAGAGGTGGCAGATGGAGTAAGGAGTATGTGAACTAGGAGCTCTTCTAGATGACACACAAATGTAGTGCACGTTCGTCGTCCACTCCGTCGAAGCAGGGGCGGCTGCAGACGACGCATGCCTATCTGCAGGCGCGGAAACTTGACCTGCGAGTCCACTCCATCGACTACACAGTTGCCGTCGTGGGGTGGTGGTGAGTGGTGACCGTCGGGTGGCCGGCTCGCCCGTGTCTGTGATCACCACCAAGTCACAGTCCGCGGACCGCGCCGTGGCGCACTTGCCTCGTCCGCGCTGCGTGTGCGAAGCGACGTCCGAGCAGCGCGCGCGCCAACCGCCCCAGTAATCCGCTGACCACAGCGGTCGGTCGCCGTCGCCGTAGAGGACGAGGAGCCCTCTGCCCGATCGAATCAGTTCCAGGTGCTGGCTGAGTCATCAGGTCCTTGACTTCCGCGGCTCCCAAACACGGCAGCCGGCAGGGCCTTCCCAGCTTCAACGAAGGCAGCGTCATTAATCCTCTCGTGGCCAACGTTTCCGTCTGTCTGATGATCCAGTTGACAAAACCCCGTTCCGCCACCGTACCGTGTCTGATTCAAAAGCGGGGAAATTTGTGCATATCCGATCAGGAAGGTTTTTTTTTCATCTTTGTGCACATTTGCTTGCTCGAGTAGGGCGTCGATCGTGTGGTGCCACACCTTCATATCATGCGGCGTGACACGTTGCAAATAACGATCTGCACGACTGATCTCCCGCTGGAACCGGTGACCGACCCATGGCAATGGTATGGAACCGGTGTTGCAGTATGCTGCAGGGTCAGGGAAGCGCGATCAGGTGAGGTCTTCGTGCTGGGTCTTTCTTATATCTTGGGTCTTCTTTTATGTTTCTAGGATCTTGCTTAAGATGTTGATTATCGGATCATCACGTCGTCTTCGTCCAAGTCACGTCTTGCACCCTATTAAACTACAAAACAATCACTTACAAATTTATTAGTCCATTTTAATTGTGTTGGTCAACACTAAAATCCAAAGTAAATAGACTTAGGGTCCATTTTCCTTATACGTACCCAAGGGGCCGGGCGAGGCGAAAACCGTGTCCTTGGGGTCGGGCAAGACGGAGCCCACACTCAAGGAGTCGGGCGAGACAGAGCCCGCGGCCTTGGATGAGACCCTCGTGGCCTTGGGGTCGGATGAGACCTTTTAATACGTCTTGCTTCATCCGAAGAAGTCGCGTTGGCGCTAACCTTCTTGTTTTGGATATCCCTAATATCGATACCCGACAAGTTCCTTCCTCTAAAGTTTACTTCCTATCACATCGGATGTTTGGACACATACATGGAGTATTAAATATAGACTAAAAATTTATTAATTGCACAGATTACGATTAATTTGCGAGATGAATTTTTTAAGCGTAATTAATCCATGATTTGACAATGGAGTGCTACAGTAAACATGTGATAATGACAAATTAATTAGGCTTAATAGATTTATCTCGCGGATTACTGAGACTAACATCCGAACAATTCCGTCTTACATCCGATGTGACCACTTGTCTTTCCACGTCCGCGCGCCGGGAGGAAAACGAAAACGAAGGGTTATCCACAAATTTATCCGGGTCACGTTGCGTAATCCGCGACGCCAAGCCAACAACCACCTTTTTACGCGCAGGTAGGGGGTGGCACATTCGCAGGCTGTGGAAAGTTGTCGCGCCACGCACACCGCGCAATTTAAATCCGCACTAATCTAATCCGGACGGATCAACGGGGGAGCGGACGACGCGGCTTTCTCCCACTCCTCAAACACGTTGCCGCCGCTCCCTTTTCCCATTGTGAGCCCGTGACCGTGAGGGAGATCAGGATCCAGGATTTCAGGACATGAGGGCGTGGTCATCTGCATCTGCTGCTACTAAACGTACTTGTACGTCGCACTCGCTCGAGATGAAAATATGATGAAGTCGTCCGTACTTGTAGTTGCCCTGGCCTTCTTCTTCTTTTAGCTCATCTATCTATCTCCTTTTTCTCTTTCCCCGCGATTCGGAACACGCGACACCTGAGGAGGAGCTTGGGGCCCGGATCAGACCAAATCGTGTTAAGGATAAGACGGCACTGATATTGGCCATATGGGTCATGGGAACGACACTCCTAATCCTTGTAGGGCACATGGATCGGGTTGGTGCTAGTAGGCACCATGCGTGCTCCTTTCGGCGGAAAGGGTGGGCAGCCTTCACAGGAGTCCGTCCTCTCCTCGCGAACGAACGCGCTGTACCGCGCTGCTGCTGTTGTAAAGAAGAGATGCATGTTCCCGTGGAGGAAATGGACCGTCGAGCTGGTTTTTGGTTTATTTACAATTACAACACACTCTTCTC